ATGCTATCCTGTCTCCCCTAAGCCTTCTCTTTGTTAGACTAGACATACCCAGTTCTCTTCATTGAGCTGAAATCTGACTTTTTAAAAATTCTTCTCCTGGCTTATCTTCGTTTTCCCTGTCAATGATGTTGCTGCTTAATTAAAAAATCTTTTGAAACATTACAGTACGGAAAAGCCAAACAGACACAGGTGTTCAAAACCTACTAAATGCCCGGCAGCTAGGATTTATGTATTATGTAGAACAGAACCCAATAAAAACCACAAGCAGTGTTTGATAAAAAAAACAACACCACCTCAATACACTCCAGGACAATACCATAAAATAGAGTTTGGATAAAATAAGGCCAAGAGGCAACGGTCAAAGCAGATTGCAGACACACAACAGGTTGTTTATAGAAAAAGAAAGAAAAAAAAAGCCTCCAGAACAGAAACAGTTTTGTGTATCTGCACAAAGGTGCTTTGTATGAGTTGGGAGAACAACCAAGAAGCCTAGTTTTCTTTTACCACTAGACCAGAGGTAGACAACCTTGGCTCTTTTATGACTGGTGGACTTCAACTCCCAGAATTCCTGAGCCAGCCATGCTGAGGGGAAAGGGAGTTTCGAAGCTGAGCCAGGCTGGCTCAGGAATTCTGGGAGTTGAAGTCTACGAGTCATGAAGGGGCCATCGTTCCCTCATGCTGACTCAGGAATTCTGGGAGTTGAAGTCCACGAGTCATAAAAGAACCCAGGTTGCCTACCCCTGGTCTAAGTCCTCCTGTTGTAAGCGGTGAGCCTCCTAGGGCAGGGGTAGGCAACCTCGGCTCTTTTCTGACTCGTGGACTCCCAGAATTCCTGAGCCAGCCCTGCTGAGGGGAAAGGGAGAGGTTTACAAGCTGAGTCATGCTGGCTCAGGAATTCTGGGAATTGAAGTCCACCAGTCATAAAAGAGCCAAAGTTGCCTACCCCTGGTCTAGGAGGCTCACCGCTTAGAACAGGAGGGCTTAGACCAGGGGTAGACAACCTGGGCTCTTTTATGACTCATGGACTTCAACTCACAGAATTCCTGAGCCAGCATGAGGGAACTATGGTCCCCTCATGACTCGTGGACTTCAACTCCCAGAATTCCTGAGCCAGCATGAGGGAACTATGGTCCCCTCATGACTCGTGGACTTCAACTCCCAGAATTCCTGAGCCAGCATGAGGGAACTATGGTCCCCTCATGACTCGTGGACTTCAACTCCCAGAATTCCTGAGCCAGCATGAGGGAACTATGGTCCCCTCATGACTCGTGGACTTCAACTCCCAGAATTCCTGAGCCAGCATGAGGGAACTATGGTCCCCTCATGACTCGTGGACTTCAACTCCCAGAATTCCTGAGCCAGCCTGGCTCAGCTTGGAAACCTCTCCCTTTCCCCTCAGCATGGCTGGCTCAGGAATTCTGGGAGTTGAAGTCCACAGCTCATAAAAGAGCCAAGGTTGCCTATCCCTGCACTAAAGCAATATGGGAAGTGTTTGAATTTGTTTTGCTAAGAAAACCGTTATAGGTAGTCCTTGACTTACAACCATTTGTTTAGTGTCTGCTAAACAAATGGCATGGAAAAAGGGACTTATATCCATTTTCCATGCTATAATGGCATGGAAAAAGGGACTTATGTCCGTTTTTCACACTTTACCACCATTGCAGCATTCCCCCACGATCATGTGATCAAAATTTGGACGCTGGGCAACTGGCATGTACTTAGGACAGTTGCAGTGTCCCAGTGGTCACCTGGTCGCCTTTTGCTTAACAGCAGGAATTTGGAGTTCAACTGCGGCTGTACGTCAAGGACATCACCACAGGTTTTGTTGCCTGAGCAGGGGGTGGGACTAGAAGACCTCCAAGGTCCCTTCCGACTCTGTTATTCTGGAAAAAAAGTGACTTCTAACTGTTTTTCACAGTAACGACGGTTACACCATCCCTGTGGTCACGTGATCAAAATTTGGAAGGTTGGCAACTGGCTTGTACTTAATGACGGTTGCGGTATCCTGTCCAAAGTTGCCCTGTGATAAGATGGGTTTGTAAAATTAAATTAAATTAAATTAAATTAAATTAAATTAAATTAAAATAAAAATAAAAAGTTGGAAGGGACCTTGGAGGTCATCTAGTCCAACCCCCTGCTCAGGCAGGAAACCCTATACCATTTCATAGAAATGGCTGTCCAGTCTCTTCTTTAAAACTTCCAGTGTTGGAGCATTCTCCGCTTCTGGAGGCAGGTTGTTCCACTGGTTAATTGTTAAGTTAAGTTCAGTTAAATATAAAAGTAATAAAATAAGATAAAATATACCCACGTGTAATCGAGACAGAATTTACAATTGTATGGAAATCTGGCAGCAGAGACCACCACCCTGTGCTAGCTCAGGATGTGCCGTGACGTGTTGTGTTTTGTTGCAGGTTTGAGTCCTCTTCCCATGCCATCAGTATGAGCACGTACTTGCAGGAACAACGGAGAGAACTGTACAGCCGGAGTGGCGAGCTTCAAGGTAGGACATTGATTATATAAACCAGTGGTTCTCAACCTTTTTAATGCCGCGACCCGCAACCGGTCGTAAGTCGAGGACTACTCAACCGGTTGTAAGTCGAGGACTACTCAACTGGTGCAGCACCGTTTGCAGAATGGGACTTTTGGTGGGCTCAGCAGGGCAGAGAAAGCCTGGACAATTTCTATTGGCTTTCAAAAGCCAATAAAATAAAAGGGAGTAGCACAGCTAAGAAAAAGGGGGAAAAAAATGGCGGACTGCGTTCTTTGGCGACCCCCGTGAAATGGTCGTTCGACCCCAAATGGGGTCCCGACCCACAGGTTGAGAACCACTGATATAAACAAACGCCGTTCAAAATAGGCCTCCGTCTCCCACGAGGGGGTTTGAATCCGCTTGTTTGCAAGGAAGCCAACATAAACCCAGACGGCAAGTTTGGAATGCTGGTTAATAGGTCAATGTTGCTAGCAAATAGCATGTTCAGCGCACTCAACACGGAAGCTGCAACGGGCCTTTCTGAGTGCCAATTTTGAAAGCAAAGTAAGGATGCTTTTTGACAGAAGAGACACATCTGTAAGTTGGGGTTGAGCTGTGGGGTCCTCGGCGCCCTCTGAGCTTGGTGGTATTCCCGGTAGACCTTTCATCACCCAACTAGGTAACATCGTCAGGGATAGGAGTGAATGAGGTTGGTTCTCTTAACAGTTCAGGAAGCGTGCACAGAAGCGGGAAACGGGACTGTTTGATTTTCTAGCTTTTTTGACTCTGAACACAGCCATTTATTGTGGCTTCTTCCACACATTCTGCAATGAAATATGAACTCGCTTAGGAACCGTTCCTAAATCGTTCAAATCCCCGTGGACGATAATAATAATAATAAAGTTAGAAGGAACCTTGGAGGTCATCTAGCCCAACCCCCTGCTCAGGCAGGAAACAGTATACCATTTCAGACAAATGACTGTCCAGTCTCTTCTTAAAAACTTCCAGTGTTGGAGCATTCACCGCTTTTGGAGGCAGGTTGTTCCACTGGTTAATTGTTCTCACTGTCAGGAAGTTTCTCCTTAGTTCTAGGTTGCTTCTCTCCTTGATGAGTTTCCATCCGTTGTTTCTTGTCCTGCCTTCAGGCGCTTTGGAGAATAGCTTGACTCCCTCTTCTTTGTGGCAGCCCCTGAGATACTGGAAGACTGCTATCATATCCCCCCTCGTCCTTCTCTTCATTAAACTGGACATACCCAATTCCAGCAACCGTTCCTTATATGTTTTAACCTCCAGTCCCCTGATCACCTTTGTTGCTCTTCTCTGCACTCTTTCTAGAGTCTCAACATCTTTTTTACATTGTGGTGACCAAAACTGGATGCAGAATTCCAAGTGTGGCCTTACCAAGGCCTTGTAAAGTGGTATTAATACTTCACGTGATCTTGATTCTATCCTTCTGTTAATGCAGCCTAGCACTGTGTTGGCCTTTTTGGCAGCTGCAGCACACGGCTGGCTCCTATTTAAGGGATTGTCCACTAGGACTCCGAGATCCCTCTCACCGTTGCTACTATTGAGCAAGATATCCCCTATACTATACCTGTACATTTGACTACTGAGCCTAGCAGTCAAAAACTGCAAAATGGGGCTTATAGGTTGAAAATGTAAAGGAGGAGCCCACCCCCCATATTATCAATTAGAAGCTTTATTGCTTCCCCTGGAGAACGTGCCAGAGAGGGCCCCGCAATAGCCTTGCCGTTCATCATCATAAACACAGAGATAAAATTGTCCATATTTATTTGCTGAGGCCGTGCTCAAAGCACATTTTAAAGTGTCTGCTTATTGATCTCAGAAGCAGGAGCAGCTGTCGGCTGTAAGGATCTGCTCCATCTTTGTCAGCATGCAAGGCTGAACGTGAACCCATCTCTTGCCCAGCTCTGTTGTATCTGTCGCCCCCAATTACTCTTTCTATTTTGATTTCTCTACTTCTCCCATATCATGCCTTCACGGATTCCTGTTAGACTGGCGGTTCCGTCTTGAGGTTGCCGAGGATGAAAGATTTATTGTCGATTCCTTGGTGGCCTCTGAGCTTGGTTGTTTTCTTGGCAGACCTTTCATGACCCAACTAGGTCATATCATCAGTGCTAGAAGGGAGTGGGGCAGTGGTTCTCAACCTTTTTAATGCCGCGACCCCCAACCGGTCGTAAGTCGAGGACTACTCAACCGGTCGTAAGTCGAGGACTACTCAACTGGTGCAGCACCGTTTGCAGAATGGGACTTTTGGCGGGCTCAGCAGGACAGAGACAGCCTGGACAATTCCTATTGGTTTTGGAAAGCCAATAGAATGAGACTCTATTCAAGAGAGTCTATTCTATTGGCTTTCAAAAGCCAATAGAATAAAAGGGAGTAGCACAGCTAAGGAAAAGGGGGGAAAAAATGGCGGACTGCGTTGTTTGGCGACCCCCGTGAAATGGTCGTTCGACCCCAAATGGGGTCCCGACCCACAGGTTGAGAAGCACTGGAGTGGGGTTTGCAGAGAGGAGGAGGAGGAGGAAGAGGAGGAGGAGGAGGAGCAGCAGCAGCGGTGGTGGTGCTGTGGTGTCCTTATTTCTCTCTGAGCTTGACTGTTTTCTTGGCAGACATTTCATTACCCAACTAGGTAACATCATCAGTGCTAGAAGGGAGCTGATTTGGCTCTATGTTTATATACAGGTATATTAGGCTAGCCCCTTGCTTGGGCAAGACAGTGGGACCTCGCAGTTCAAAGTGGAGCTGCAAATATTCTCTCTTAAAGGTGCTTTATTTTATGCATTTTTTCACACTCATGGCCTGGATTAGGTTGCTTTCCGGTAGGAAGCTTAGACCAGCGGTAGGCAACCTTGGCTCTTTTATGAGGCGTGGATTTCAACTCCCAGAATTCCTGAGCCAGCATGGGGGAATTATAGGCCCCTCATGACTCGTGGACTTCAACTTCAATTGAGCCGAGGTGGCGCAGCAGTTAGAGTGCAGTACTGCAGGCCACTTTAGCTGACTGTGTTCAGCAGGTCAGCGGTTCAAATCTCACCGGCTCAAGGTTGACTCAGCCTTCCATCCTTCCGGGGTAGGTCAAATGAGGACCCAGATTGTTGGGGGCAATGTAAATATATATATATATACATTGCTTACTGGTGTACACTGCTTAGAGAGTGCTTGCACTTAAAGCAGTATATAAGTCTCATGAATAAATAAATAAATAAATAAATAAATAAATAAATAAACTCCCAGAATTCCTGAGCCAGCATGGCTCAGCTTGGAAACCTCTCCCTTTCCCCTCAGCATGGCCGGCTCAGGAAATCTGGGAGTTGAAGTCCACCAGTCATAAAAGAGCCAAGGTTGCCTACCCCTGGCCTAAGTCCTCCTATTTTAAGCGGTGAGCCTCCTAGCTCAGAGCTAGGCAACCTTGGCTCTTTTATGATTCGTGGACTTCAACTCCCAGAATTCCTGAGCCAGCCATGCTGAGGGGAAAGAGAGAGGTTTCTAAGCTGAGCCAGGCTGGCTGAGGAATTCTGGGAGTTGAAGTCCGCAAGTCATGAGGGGGCCCTATTTCCCCCGTGCTGGCTCAGGAAGTCTGGGAGTTGAAGTCCACGAGTCATAAAAGAGCCAAGGTTGCCTACCCCTGGTCTAGGAGGCTCACCGCTTAGGACTTAGGACAGGGGTAGGCAACCTTGGCTCTTTTTTGACTCGTGGACTTCAACTCACAGAATTCCTGAGCCAGCATGAGGGAACTATGGCCCCCTCATGACTTGTGGACTTCAACTCCCAGAATTCCTGAGCCAGCATGGCTCAGCTTGGAAACCTCTCTTCCCCCTCAGCATGGCTGGCTCAGGAATTCTGGGAGTTGAAGTCCAAGAGTCATAAAGGAGCCAAGGTTGCCTAGCCCTGGACTAGACGTTAGCTCTACCGGTAGTAGCTTTGAAGGGCAAGAACGGGAAAGGACCCTGGATTCAGAGGGCAAAAGGGATTCGTAGTACAATTAATTACCTCTTTGCAACTCTTTAAATTAGTGTTTCTAAAGGTGTGGACTAAAAACCCCCAAAGGTCCATCAAAACCTTCCCGGAGGATCTGCCAGGTCAAAATTACACATAGTCCTCGAATCACAAGCACAAGTAAGCCCAAAATGTCTGTCGTTAAGTGAGACAGTTGTTAAGTGAGTTTTGCCCCGTTTCACGTCCTGTTTTTGCCCAAGGTGTTAAGTGAATCACTGCAGTCGTTAAGTTACTAACACGATTGTTAAGTCAATCCGGCTTCCCCTACTGACGTTGCTTGTCGGAAGGTCGCAAAAGGGGATCACGCGATCCCGAGACTCTGCATCTGTCATAAGTACATGCCAGTTGCCAAGCCTCTGAATTTGGATTACGCGACCACGGGGAGGCGGCAACGGTCGCAAGTCTGAAAAACAGTCCAATGTCCCTTTTCTCAGTAATGTTGTCACTTTGAACGGCCACTCAGCGAACCGTTGTAAGTCGAGGAGGGCCTGTACTAGGGTGCGATTCTGTACTAATTCTACTGCCGTTTTTGTAGCACAAGAATTAAAAAAAAAAAACCCGCCGTGTTCTCCTTCCCCCCCCATCTTTTTCTCTTTCTCTCCTTCCCCCCCCCCCCCCCGTCAAGTTGCGTGCCCTCTGTTTGATAATCTCATTTCCCGCAAAAAATCAAAATCAAAATACCGGCAATTTCATCCTCCCAGAGTGTTAATTGTGACCTTGCTCCGTTGCTAATCAAAAAATGGGATGTTTTGCATGAAAACGGGGCTCTCATTAATTCTGTCATAAAGCACCTTGGTTTTTTTTAATAACCCCGCCTTGATTGGGTAGTCTTGGAGAAGACGGGGGCTGCTAAGCTCCTAAACCCAGGGGAAAAAAAAAAAACACCGTGGAAAGGAAATGATAAGAGGGCGAGAAGATTCATCGGACTGACGGTCGAACCCAAGGAGACACCTTTCCCGGCTCAAATTTCAGATCGCGCCCCGCATCTGGCAAAGAAGGATGACAGAGGC